AACACAACGTGGTGCGATCATCCCCCTTGCGCGGAGTGAGGATTCTCCACCCCGCGCAACATGATCTACTCGACCACCATCATGGTTACCGCCAAAAGGAAAAACGGAGGAAAAAAAAAGAGCCTGGTTGCCGAGTTCACGAAGTGAATTGGCTTGTTTTACAACGTCGTTGCCAAGCGACGAAAACCCAACCCCGATGGCAAACACCGGGGGACGGGAGCGCGAGGGGTGGGGGGGGTAGATTTGGGTGAGCGAGCATTCTTGTGTCGAAGATGGGCTTAATCGAGCCTTCATCGCGGACGAGCACCAAAACAACCCGAAGCAAGTTCGGAGCGAGGCGCACGGCCCTTCCACAAGCGGCACGATTTGTTGAAGTTCTACCACGGCGTAAGACCACGACCATCACGAACCTTCAAAATCAGGGTCAAGGCTCAATTCCTAGGTTGTCACCACCGTGGCCATTACGAGTTCTGTTGTATGGTTTACCACTGAGCTGTGTTTGTTAACTCATTTTTCATTGCCTTCGTGGAGTTCTCAACCCCATTTGGCCAAGGGAATGTGCATCGGCCCAGTTCTGTGCACAAGTTCCCAGGTGTTCAGTGGCAATAGCACCGCGTTGATCACGATCGACCGGTTGGAAGGCTCCTCAAACGGCTGATGCTCAAGGTGCCATACAGCGCTCGCTCGTACTGTGCAGCACCGTTCCTCACCGATGCCATCTGTAGCAAGCTTGACAGGTGCCGGCCGAGCTTCTGCTGCCGCACGGACAAGTCGCCGCGTCCGCTAAAGTCCACCCGGAAGAGGGCGATGACGGAGTCCACGATGATCACTCGAATGGGACCCTCAGTGAGGCACAGCGCCGCGATGCTCTGAAAAGTGTAGGTTTTTTAAGGGGGGGGAGGCATGACGTTTTCCTTCGGGTCGCTGGGTGACGGGGAGGGTGGAGTCCACCTATTGCATAGCGAACAGTGTTCAGGCTTGAGGAGCGGTACTGCGCAGTGTGTTGGGAAAC